AAGTAGGTTCTTGAGAATAAAAAAGGCTTGGTGGGGCACGGTGGCTCATGCCTATAATCCCAGTACTTTGGGAAGCTGATGTGGTAGGATTGCTTGAGACCAGGAGTTTGAGACCAGCCTGGACAGCATAGCAAGGCTCTGTCTCTACAAAAAATAAAACTATTAGTCAAGCATAGTGGCACATGCCTGTAGTCCCAGGTACTCAAAAGGCTGAGGCAGGAGGATTGCTTAAGCCCAGGAGTTTGAGGTTGCAGTGAGCTATGATTTTGCCACTGCACTCTAGCCTGGGCAACAGAGTGAGATTTGGTCCCTTAAAAAAAAAAAAAAAAGAATGAAAAAGACTTGCAAAGAGTGAAACATAGCATTTGATCCTATTTCTCTCTCATACTTGCCCTGGAAGATTTGCTCAAAAACATCTGAACTGAAGGCAGAAGTACAGGGTTTTGGAGCCAAACATTGAAGAAAACCGGGTAGGGAGAAAGGGAGGGAAGGATGGGCCTTGATGGGCAGGATGGAAAAAGAGAGTATCTGAGTGGGCTGAATGCCATTTCACCAGACAGGGCAGGAGGCCTGGACTAAGAGCCAGGAAAGCTGTTATCACAGGCTGCCTGCTGCCTAAATATATACCTCATCCAGCAAAGGATGCCTACTTTCCTCTGAGCTGCCCAGTGGAGAGCTTAGGACATCTCTGTCAAACATGAAGAGTGAAGTCTTGGACCACCTAGTATGGGTACCGTTTTCCTTCTTCCATTCCTCCCAACCCTTCTATCTCTAGAGATTTTAGTCTGCAGGGCCCAAGAATCTGCATTTTAATAAGCACCTCTCTCATGTGACTCTCATGTAGGTAGCCTCTGGTACTGCAGTACCACTGCCCAGAGAAACTCAGTGATAAGAAGGGCCACCAGTGGTACTTGTTAAAAATCCAAATTTCTAGGCCCCATACCAGACAAGTGAAATCAGAATCTCTAGGGAACAGGTCTGAGAATTTGGATTTTTTTTTTTTTTTTTGAGACAGAGTCTCACTCTGTTGCCCTGGCTAGAGTGAGTGCCGTGGCGTCAGCCTAGCTCACAGCAACCTCAAACTCTTGGGCTCAATGGTCCTCCTGCCTCAGTCTCCTAGGTAGGTGGGACTACAGGCATGCGCCACCATGCCCGGCTAATTTTTTCTATGTATTTTTAGTTGTCTGATTTATTTCTTTCTATTTTTAGTAGAGATGGGGTCTTGCTCTTGCTCAGGCTGGTTTCGAACTCCTGAGCTCAAACAATCCGTCCGCCTCAGCCTCCCAGAGTGCTAGGATTACAGGCATGAGCCACCGTGCCTGGCCGAGAATTTGGATTTTTAATAAGGGCTCCTGGTGATTCTTAGAGAAGTCTGGGAAACTGTTCTAGAGACTTTTACTTTTTAATTCTATTCTTCTCAATATATTTAAACACATCTTACTTATAATAAATAAGGATATTTACATTTTGAAAAAATAAGTAGCCTGCAGAAAAGAACAGATTACAAACTATAACATTTTTTTTTCTCCAGCTCAGACTTTTCAGTGCTGCAAACTGATAGATCCAACTGTTTCCACCTGCCTTGAAGTCCCCAAAACATCTTAAACTTAACATGTTCAAACTGAAGTCATCCTATTCCCTCAAATCTGGCTCTTTCAGTGTCCCCTGTATCTCAGTGATAGCATTACTAGCCACCTACTGGACCCACCAGAAATCCTAAATCATCTCCCTCTCCTTCAGTACCCCATCCCACTCCACCATATCTGAATCCATCACCACCACCTCCCATTTTACTTCCTACATTGTTCCATTTCCCTCACTTGTTTCCATCTCCTTGTTCCTACCCTAGTCTCCTTGAACTCCTACCAACACTAACCACCACTCATAGATCTAATTGGTCCAATGCTGGCTCTGCTTATATTCCTACATTGCACCTGGCATGATATTTTCAAAACACAAATATGATCACATCAAATATTTTCTCTCCCTTTGCTCTTCAGAAAAATGTTAAGGTTCTTAATATGATCTGCAAGACCCTGCTTAGTCTGGTCTCCAGCTTTATACTGCAGCATTCTGTAACCTGTGCTCCAGCCACAATGGCCTCCTTTCAGGCCGTCAGCCCTGCAATGTTCTCCACGGACAAAAGCCCTTTACACATGATATTTCCTCTGTTTCCCTTTCTCCTGTCTTCAGTTTCTCATCTTTCAGATCTCTATTTGAGTGTGACTTCCTCAAGGATGCCTTCCCTAACCTCTCGGATCAGACTGATGAATGCCCCTACTATAAGTTCTCATAGCACCTAGATAAATTCAACTTGTTTAATTAGATCATTTAGAATTCCATTGGCTTGAGCAGTTTGTTTCCTCTCTCAAAATATTCCCTGGTATTCTTCTGATTTCACTTCCTTAGACTCTATCCTAGAACAATTTTAGGATTAGTAGGGGATAACTCTTGACACTTGGACTCTTGCTAAAGCAGCATCTTCATTGGCTTTCACACATCCCCTTTGACTGCTGTTGTCTTATCATTTTCTAATACCTTGAACATTAGCCTCTATCACAGCACTTACTCGTATCGTATTTTTCTTTCTTTTTTTCTTTTTAAGGTTTTTCACACTAATGTCAGCTGCCTTCGGACAGTTGTTTTTATTTATCTCTGTATCCTCAGCACATAACACAGGGCCTTGTCAATAAATATTTGTAATCACCCTGTAGTCCAGCCACATAGTGCATAAGTTGATTTCTCTACTTGTAATGTCTTTCCCTAACTTTATTTGCTTGACAAACTCTTACTTCTTGATATAAAAGAGGCAGTAGTTTAGAGTTACCATCAACAATGTGCAGAATCTTTCCACTTTTCTCATTTGAAAAATGACACTAACCTTAAAATGTTGTTGAGAGGATTAAAAGAGTTAATGATTAAATACATCTCTCTCTCTCTCTCTCTCTCCCCTTGCCAGGTCAAATCTCTCCTCTCCCTAGAGCAATTCCCTAGGGAATTTTAACTCAAGATTAGGTTTTTGGAATCTCTTGCATCCAGGTAGTTCTGTTTCCCCTGCCTCCTGTTTTTCCTTTTCCTCACCATAGACATTGATGGCTCAATTAAGAGTAGAGGACAAATCATTAGCAAGCAGAAAAATCATTTTTTCTGGTTCTCTTAGGAAAGGAGATCTTTCTGGAGTGAGATGTACTTGCATAGCTGCATAGGACTTTTTTTTTTTATTTCAGCATATTATGGGGGTACAGATGTTTAGGTTACGTATGTTGCCCTTGCCCCCCCCCCCAGCCCCTAAGTCCGAGTTTCAAATATGTCCATCCTTCGGGTGGTGCGCATTGCACTCTTTGTGTATGCAAATACCCGTCCCCTCCTCCCTCCTTCCCCCTCCCCCTCCCCCCTGCCCAACATCCAATAGATGTTATTCTTATATGTGCACTTATGTGTTGATCAGTTAATACCAATTTGATGGTGAGTACATGTGGTCCTTGTCTTTCCATTCTTGGGATACCTCACTTAGTAGAATGCGTTCCAGCTCTATCCAGGAGTATACAAGAGGTGCTATATCACCATTGTTTCTTAAAGCTGAATAGTACTCCATGGTATACATAGGACTTTAATACTGTGAAACAGCAAAGGTTGAAAAACAAAATGGTTAAATGTTTGTATCAAAACAGGTGAAGTGTCTCTGTACATTTTCTTCTACATTCGTAAGTGCCTGATCCACAGTAACTCACTAAACTTTAGTTCCCTTGCTTTCATCCTTGCAAGTTTACAGAGCTGTAACTAAAGATTTTAGTATTTAGGGCAAGGAACTCCAACAGTGAATTATTTGGTAGCTTCCAATATAAAAAAACGATTCTTATCAACTAGATACTATGCTCAGTTTTTCTTTCTTTACCTGTTTGTGTTGTCAAAGTTTAAACACAGCATTTTAAAACTATTATACTCTTTAAAATCATAGGAACTTTTTATTTTATAATATGTGTATACAACTGAAGTAGGAAAAAAAAACATGAAAAACGTTTGCACATGGGATAAAACATGTCACAGGTGTAAAACATGATAAAAACCTTCCCTGAAGTTTCCCTATCCTTATCCACGTTGTCATGTGCACATCTCTAGTAATTTTTCTCATTCAAGAATCGTTTATTTAGCATTTGTCTTATCCTGTTGACTAGGAAACTTAACACCGTTTAGTCAATGTTTCAAATCTCAAATATAGCCTGGGTGGTTTTTCGTGGGCCCACGTTTCAGGGTCTCTGGAGAATGTTCTTGAGGTTAAAAGTTTTAAGACCAAAAACTCAGCTTACGTTCTTATCCGCCGGTTTGAAATAAACATCATTTGGCGTCTCAAGCTTGTGAGGTAAGCGTCATCAAAGGACCCTTTTTGACGTCCATGAGTGACAAAAGCTTCCAGCATTCCCGGGGTCCAGGCTGAATTTTCTCCACCGGCTTGTTTGGGAATTGGCCTCTTCTCAGCTGTGCAGTCTTAACCAGCGCTGCAGCTTGCTGCCGGGCAGCTCTCCCGGGACTCTTCAGGAGGCGCTCCTTTTCCAGGCGCGCCCATCTCCACCCTCCTCAACTCCCCAACCTTTGTCCCCCCCGCTCTTTTCTCTCATGGCGGTCTGGGACCACCAGGACCAGTTTCGGGGTTTTCTTCCTCCGGCGAGACTTGGCAGAACAGGCATTAAAAGAAAAGGAGGCATTAAAGGCAATATATGTAACCTAAACGTTTGTACCCCCGTAATATTCTGAAATAAAAGAAAAGGAGGCAAAAGAAGAGTAAGAAATAACTGTATTGTAAGAGTCATGATAAATGGCACTACAACCCCGAGAAGATGAGCAGACTAAGGGGGTTGCGGGGCACACAGCGACTGGCGTCCCCAGGCCAACCGCTCGGCCTGCCGCGCCCCAACTGCCCGCCCCGCTCCCAGTCACATGACGGATGAGCGGCGCGCGCCGGCCGCGGCGCCTATTGGCGGGCGGCGGGAGCGCGGGGTTTGATGGGAAGGAGCTGGCCGGGCCCAGCGTTCTGTCGGTGGCGGCTGCTGCCTGCTCTGGAGGCAGGCTGTGCGGTGGCCGCCGAGGCTGGCAGGGGCGGACGCCAGGGCCGGGCTGTGCCGGCTTCTCCCAGGTAGAGCGCTCAAGATGCGGGCGGTTGGGAGGGCTTTGTAGGGGGGAGGCGCGCTGAGCTTTCCCCGGGGGAAATAAGCTCCCCGTTCCCCCGCTTGCTTCTCCCAGGTGCCCCCGCCGCATGCCAAGTGGCCTAAGAGCTCTGCGGCGGCAGCCGGGCATACTCCCGTTATGGAGCGCGCTGACCCAGTCCGGCCGCCTCGTCCCCTTGATTTCCTAGCACAGTGGCAGAGGTGGTTCTGGAGTGCTGGAGACCCGGTTCTGCCCCGCCAAGTCTGGTAGTTTCCCCAGCTCTGTTCTCAGAGATTCCAGGTGGTGACTGGCTTGAGCCCCAGCTTTTTGGCCCACCTGTGTCGAGGAAAAGGGTCAGAAGGTCCCAAACTAGCAGATCCTACGCTAAACTATCCGCTTTGAGTGTTCTGTCCATATCTTCTTTTTCTGGGTTGTGCGGAGGCTCCAAGAACTGGAAAGATCGGAAGGGACTGAAAACTGTCAGTGTCATGCTGCTCGGCTCTGGCGTGTGGGCGTGGATTATGTGCTACTTAGAGCAGCAGCTCTACACCCATTGTCCATATTTGAGGAATGGTGGGCGGTGTGAAGGGTGGAGGGGAAGGGCGAAGATGTGCAGTGTCATGGGTGTGGCAGGTGGAGAAAAGCTGGTCTAAACTATATCAATACGTAGTTTTAATTCCTTAATATTGCATTTGCGGGTAGAGAGAGTGAGAATTGGAGAATTCAGTTTTGCTGATGTTACTGTCACAGTACCAAGTAGGACCTATGAGTCACTCAGTTTTCCATGTTGTGCTTTTTCCTCTTGGCCTCTGGTTTGTGGTGCTTAGTGTCTACTGTTTTCTCCTTTCTCTGTGGCCTAGATGTCACCATTGACAAAATCGACCCTATTCAACAGCGGTTTGGTGGGTGTGAGTAAACTTTGTTTCAGAAATATGTTCAAACTGGCAGGGAAAGCTAATCCCTTGTCCTCAGCAGCCCCCATAGTTTGTTCTTAGGAGGTCCAAGTTGATTTTGAACACTTTCTTAAACAAGAGTGGTGCATTTAAAATTAGAATTTTAAGATTCTCTGTCAGATGTTGAGATCAGCTCAGTAATGCTGTTCATAACTTTTATAGTGTTTATATATTAACTTGAAAGAATATAAGGAAAGGGAGACTTACATGGCTATCAAAAATGATTTCATAATAGAAATCTTTCTAATCAAATAGTCATTTTTTGGTAGTTCAGAATGAAAATTCACTTACCATGAAGGGAAGCACTTAATCATTATCTATTAAAAGTGCTTTTAGGAGTGTACTTCTTTTCATTAATATTTTTTGTGGGAGGCAATAAATGTGGTTTGGGATATTTCAGAATTATCTTTCATTTCAAAGTTAGAGTTCTAGAACAAATCGTCTTTAACCTTAAGTTGTATAGTACAATGCATTATGGAGTTACTGTTGATGTTGATTAAATAGTTTATACTTAAGTTTGGAACTTGATAAACATAAAGCTACCTTTGTTTTTTTCCTCCAAAGACCTACAAGGTTTTTTAAATGGAGGAGTGCAGAATATTTTTATTTTGCATTATTTTTAATACTAGAGAAAATGAGAGCAATACAATTTCAGTAAAAATATAAACTGTAATTTTATTTTCCAATTTTAAAATTATGAAATAGGTGTTTTCTTTATAGGAAGTTAGAAATGTGTTCCATATAAATACATGAGTTTTCTGGTAAAGTAATAATAATGGCTACAACTTATTAAGCACTTACTATGTGTTGGGCACTATACCAAGTGATATATAATTTCATTTAATTCATATAACAATTCTATGAAATATAAATATTTTTTATCATTTTACAAATGCAATAACTGAGAGAGTTTAAGTAATTTGCCCAAGATCTCATAGCTAGTATGTGGTTGAACCATATTTTGAATCCAGGTCAATTTTACTTCATTATTTTAATGTGACTTGAAGTGAGCTGAAAATTTAAGAAAAACATTTCCCAAGATTTTAAATTCTGACACCCAAACCTGAGTGTGAATAGCAATTAGTAGAAAATATTCAAATAATATGGTGGACATTACTGTTCATTGAAAAACATATTTAGATGCACCCAGCTCTTAAGGTCATGACAAATCCCATTGTGATATCACAGTGGAAAAAGACTCGATGTACATGTTCATGGAAGAGTTCTTGGAGACAAGCCACTTGGGGTTGAACCATCTGTCCAATCAAGGGCAAGCAAATTGATTTATGCTTCAGAAGGGAATGCTAGAGTTATTTGGTTCCCATGTATTTGAAAGGAAGCAGAGATGGATTAAATAACAGCAAAGACCACAGAAGTAAAAACAGTTAATTTGTATAGAGCAATTACTATGTGTCAGGCACTGTTGTAAATAGTGTAGAATACATTATGTCATTTAAGCCTTTCAACATTTAACAGGTTCCTTAACTACATATTCCTCTTTTGCAGTTGAGGAAATTGAGTAACAAACAAGTTAAATAACTTATTTGTCTAAGATTCCATAGTAAGTGATGGGCCGCAGGAATTGGAGTTTAGATGTTTGGGTGGAAAGGAGAGAACCAGTGGTTGAATATAGAAGCAATATGACATTAAAGTTATATTTAGATCAGTCTGATCCTAAGAAAAAAAGAAATTAAAGTTACAGAGAAATATGTGATTTAATTACTTAATTTTGTTATATTTTCATGTCTGCTGGAGAGTACCATCCATTACATGTGCATTATAGTATATCAGTTTCTTTAATACCAGGATTTGATGGGAAAAAAATGCTGCAACAATGAAGGTTGACTGTTTCTTTGATTATGAACCTGAAAGCATGGATATGGCGTTTAATGACTATTACTCTAATGTTGTTTTAGAGGCGAAATTTAAAAGCACAATCCTTGCTTCAGGGATCTTAGGGGCTAAGCAGTAGATTGTTTCATTAATACCAAAACAATTCTCCAAGCAACACTCCAACACTCCAATAATTAGTGTCAAATTTAGTATTAATTGTGATACCATGCATATATTTCATATTATACTTATTTTGAAGTGATATTCAGTAAAAAAGGCTGTAGTTGCAGACATCTAGTACTAGTTCTGCCCCTAGCTGGAGCTACATGATTTTGGCAAATCCTTTAACTTCTCTTTAGTGTAGATTCAAGCATTCAAATTTAATCAAATAAAAGGAATTGGGCTACATGATACATTGTATTAATACTGTCTCTTGTGTTTATTACTTACTTTCCATTTCAGTAGTTCTGTATATCAACTATTTGAGAACGTCAGAGGTGCTTTCATATATTTTATATAAAAATATTCCAGCCTGGTCTATATAAAAGCTTGTCACTTTATTTCTGATTTTGTTTTATTGCGAATAACTGGGTGCTTTTTAAAAAAATCAAACCGAAAATGTTATGTCTGGCTCTGCTACTTAATGTCTTTGGGACCTTACTTAGCAAATCTTTTCAATTCTCTAGCCTCAGGTTTCTCATTTGTAAAAGGGAGGAATAGTAGTAGCTAAATGATAAAATTCGTGTAAAGTATTTGTTTTAGGGCCTGTTAGAAATGAAGAACTTACCAAGTGTTTATATCGTTGTTGCCATTAATTTCAAATATTAAAAACTCCGATCACAGTCCCAGGGTGTGACGGTTACAGACTTGACTTGGAGGGATATAATTGTTTCAAACCAAAATGTGTAAGTCAGTTGTGTATAAAATACCATATGCTACATACCATATGTATGCTACATACCATGAACTAGTTCCCAAGTAATGGAATGATGTATACTTTGAGAATAACAAATGGTTTATATGAATCTCTCCCCTCTACCCACCTTTCTTGATGATTATTTTTAGCATCTCAGGAACGTTTTTAGATTTAATGTCCTGACTCAGATGGAAATTTAAACTTTTATTTATTGAAATGCCTAGATTTCCTGCAACCACATTTTAGAAATTTTAGAAATTCGAATACTGAGCTGACACTAAATGATTAATAATATTTAGATTGCACCTTAAATGTGACTTGTAACATTCATTCTATTTATACACTTCAGAATTTTTCAGGACAGATTAAAGTTATTTCTGTCCTTAGAAATTACTTTGTAAGTGAAAATATTTTATAGTTAGGCCCCTTGTTACCTTTTTAATTAAGTAACTCCAAGATAGGTATGCCTTATGCTAAATCCAATATATAAATGGCATTGCAGAGTAAATGTTCTTATTTGATACTGGTATTTTGTGGTTACATTTATGGTTAAAAAATGTGAGGAGTGTGGCCTAGATGATTTTTTTGAGGGGGTAGAAATGAAGTAGTTTCACACATTGGCAAATATCTAACTATAACCTGGTAAAAATATGAAAGTACACTTTTGCCATTTCAACTGAAAAGAATAAAAATTTATGTAATTATTGACTGATAATTGATTTAGAGTATAATATTGCTGAGTCTATTATAAAACACTTGAGAGTCACAGAAAAACAACTAAAGGAAGGGTCTATACAGCTAGCTGAAATGAAGGCCAACTCTTTTGAGGGACTCAGACAAAATTTCAGAGAGAATTGTTTATTTGGGTGTGGAACAGTAGTGTTTAGTAATAGAGACCAGAAGTCTTGGAGATAAAGGGACTTTAGGCCATGTTTCTTCTGAACTGTTGGGATCACTAAACCCTCTTTTCCCTTAGTTTTCTTATTTATAAGATGGTAATAATAAAGACTATCCTGTGAGAAAGTGGTGGTACTATTAACTCTAATGTACAGAAAAGAAAATTAAGACTCAGAATCATTGAATGATTTGTTCAAGGTCACAGGTAGCCTTGTAATTCTTATTTTTATTCAAAATCCAGTTGGTTTTCTGTTATTACTTGTAAGGTGATGTTATTCTGAACATTGTAAAACATTCCTAATTTCAACTAAATAGTTTAGTTAGGAGACAACTGAATGACAGAAACGGTTTTATTTAAGTATGTAGAATGAAAGTAGTATAATAAAACTTTTGTTGCAAGAACAATACAGAGAACCTACTTTAAAGAACAGAAAATCACAAAGTGGTATGAATATACACTTCTAAAATGTTTTGTCATTTAAAAAGTCTTTCCAGCTTTATTTTCACTTTTAAATATGTTCTAGTTTTGAAGAGTGGATTTTAAAAAGGTGGACTCTATCTAAATGACTGTCTGAATTTGCATTTCATATAAGTAGAGTCCAAAGAAATTAATATTTCATAGTATTTTTAGTATTGCAGTATTTAAATTTTATAGTAGGTATGCTTTGTGCTTAACTTAAATTTTTAAAATACTTGCCTTATTTCTAGCTGTGAATTCCTTTGAACAATTGATGATATTTATCATTGTGCCCAGTTTCTACAAATAAAAGATGGGTGGATTATTTTCTCGATGGAGGGTAAGTTACTTTTCTTTATAGCTAGTTCCTAAATCTAACATAAAAATATCATATAAAGCCATTTGTAAAAATCTCCTTTGGTGGTATAGCCTTGAATAGTAGTTTGATATTACCCTTAACTCTGTTTAATTTCTTTCTTTCTTCTCTTCTGAATTACTTTTCTGTTTGGAAAAGTTCTACTTGTTCTATAGGTGTCTGATATCTCTGTTGAACAGAATTATTTCACTTTCACAGAATTATTATTTCTGTATTTGTGTGCAAACGGTTATCTTTTTTTGTTTTCTTCTTATACTTCCTAAATTTCAAACTTATTTGGAAGGTAGTTGAAAATAAGTATTTTATACCATACTTAAGTTTTTTACAGACTATATCTTTTTACTTAAAGCTTGTCACAAATATTGACTAAAATCACACTGCATATGCTTTTAGGAATTATAGGTTAAACAAAATAAGAAATGTAGTTTGATTTTATTGGATAAGTCTTTAGAGGACTAACTCAATTTATAGGTAGAAAATATAAATTATATTGATCAATGGTCTTTTCTAATCTAAGAGGAGATAAGGTAGTCTAGGATAAACTGCTTATTTTTTGACTCCTTATTACCATAATAATGGAGTCCAACTATACTTTGTATATAATGTAGTTTTTGTACTCTTGCTGGAACAGCCTTGTTTTCAATTGGTGTTTTAATGACTCCCTTCTTATGACCTTATGATAGTCTGCCTGCAGTTCAAATTTATCTCTTCTTTGTCTTATTAGGTTGAACTATATGAAATTGCCAATATTCAACTACTTTGACTTACAAAAATGGTAATTTCATATGGTTTAGCTCAATGTTAACAACTCTTATGGGAACTATAATGAATTGATATTTATTACCCTCTTGGATTGTTGAGTATGTAATTGGTAAATATTTTCTCAAGTATTACATGAGCCATTTTGGCTGGTTTTTATTTTAGGTGTGTAAAAAATAACTTTGGCAAATAAGCTTTGCTATAATGTGGTATTCTAGATGCCATTTTAAAATCTGATCTTTAAAAAAGTACTTTAGGAATTCAGAATGAAGGTAGCCTGTTGATTTTGACCTTTAGAGTCCTAAGGGAACTTTTAGCAATAGCAGATCAGACCATCTTTAGACTGTGAATTCTTTTGAATAATCTAAGAAAATTTTTCTTGGAGGAAAATTTGTTTCTCTCTATAAAATTATGTTCAATTGAGGTTAAGAATGGTAAAAGTTGAGCTAGAAATTGAAAATCCTTCTAGGACTAAAAATAAAGTAAGTAGGAAAATGCTTATTTCTTTACTCTTATGTAGTTCTGTTTATAATTATAATTCTTATTTAAATAAATCTTAGTTATATGTAAATAGAAATACATATTGCTTGACAACATTTGAAAAGACTAACTTTGAATTAAAGTGTTTTTTTAATGATTATAGAAACCAAAATATTTCTAAGTTTGCAGTAACAAGTTTTAATGGTGTCTCTTATTTCTATTTCCATAACAGACAAAACCTTCAACTGTAGAAGTTCTAGAAAGTATAGATAAGGTATGTTCTTCGGCTGTGAGGTATTTTAATTTATTTTAGGTATTAAGTAAATATTATTTTAGTAAATATTATTTTGGAGACCAGATCTGGTATGTTACATGATCTCAAAATATCAAGTCTATCAGTGACTTAAGAAGTCTGTATCAAGTAACAGAGCCTGTTAGAATGAAATTAGATCTACAGCATGGTGTAAATCAATGTTACCGATAGGATAAAATAGATTATAAGATAGTCTGCAATGATTTTTATTCGTCTCTAAAGTTTCACAGCTTCTTATATTTTCTGTCATTACCAAAAATGGTTATTCCCTGTAAATATTGATAGTAATGAATAGAGTGAAAGAATCTAATATGGGTTACTGTTTTAATTTTTATTAATTTTGTCTTTTATTGCTAGATTTTTCTTTGTTTAGGCCTAGATAGGGAGAATTATTACTTGTTTGACTCAGTAATTATTTACTAATGCCAATTTCATTCCTCTAATCTTTGCCAATTTGGTAGGTTAAAACTACTATTAAATTTTGCATTGTAAAAAGTGATTTGTCAGGAATAGGCATTATACATTTTTAACTCCATTTTTTAGTTTTCATATTCATGTCATGCTTTGTTTTAAACAGGGTATTATATTTTATTGAGTTTTAAGGGTTCTTTCTTAAATATAACCTTTTGGTCATGTTAAAATTTTTTAACATTTTAATTTCTTTGTGAAGTTTGAGCTTTAATAATATGGAATAATTTTCTTTTAACAGGAAATTCAAGCTTTGGAAGAATTTAGGGAAAAAAATCAGAGATTACAAAAATTATGGGTTGGAAGATTAATTCTGTATTCTTCAGTTCTCTATCTGTTTACATGCTTAATTGTATACTTGTGGTATCTTCCTGATGAATTTACAGCAAGACTTGCCATGACACTCCCGTTTTTTGCTTTTCCATTGATGTAAGTAAATTTTTCTTTTTATTCATTTTTCCCTTTTCTGACAAGATAGTTTGACTATATATTTAATTTATATAATATATTCAGTCTCTTTTTATTATTAAATGGTAATGTCTCAGATTAGATAAATTTGGATTTTTTTACAGTTTGAAATTTTTTTTTTTAAATAGTAGAACAATTGTTTTAAGGTTTTATTTATAATTCAACATACCTGAGGAATCTCACCTAGTGATATTAGTAATAATGGCTCTGTATGGCAATGTTTTGTGATTTTCTACTAGATAGCCATGTATCCCTGGGGGCATTGGGCATGGAGTGAGGAGTAATGGCAAGTGGGGGAGAGTTTGTAAAACCAAAAGAATAACTGCTCAAATGCTTCTGAATATATTACATTCATCCCAACTCTCTTCCCCTCTTTTTAATCACTGCTATAAAGCAATTGACCCTTATTTTAGAAATATTTTATACTATAGCACTGTACACGAAGTATATCATAATTAAACATTTTGAGAGTTGAATAAAAAGTTTGTTCATTCAGTCAACAAACATTTATGGTATATGGTCACAAAAACACAAAATCTCTACAGATCTTAGACTGCATACATTAAATAATAAGTATGATGAATGTTGTGAATGAGAAGTGCAAAATATTATGGGAGCATTTAATAGGGGCACTAATCTAGCCTGGGTGGGGGTCAAGGAAGAGCTTCTGTGTTAGTTTTCCATTGCTGCCACAAATTTAGTACCTTAAAATAGCACCCATTTATTATATCAAAGTTCTGTATGTCAGAAGTTCAGGTGGCTTGACTGGGTTCTGTGCTTAGAGTCTCACAAGCCTAAATCAAGGTATCAGCTGGCTTGGAGTCTTATCTGGAGTCTCTAGGGGGAGAATCTGCTTCCAGGATCAGTCAGGTTGTTAACTGAATTCTGTTGCATCTCTGTGACTTCCTGTTCTACCCTTAGCTGGGAGAAAGCTCTGCTTTTGAGAGCTTAAGTGATTATATTAGACCCACCAGGATAATATCCTTATCTTAAAAATCAACTGAGTAATAACCTTAGTTATGTCTGCATAGTCCCTTCATAGCAGTATCTACATTACTATTTCATTGTGTAACCAGAGGATGGAAATCTTTGCAATAAGGGTAAGGATTTCTTTAGATTTCTGCGTACCACAGACTACCCAAGGAAGTGATGTTTGAGTTTGAGACCTGAAGGATGAATATGTGTGTCCAGGGTGGTGGGACGTGGTGGATAGAGTGTTTAGGTGGAAGAAACAGCACACTTGAAGACCCTGAGGTGGGCTACAGCAAAGTAGATTTAAAGAATTAAAAGAAGGAAAAGACTGGATTATAGAGAAAAGGCTAGGTAGTTAGGCAATGGATATTTCATGTGAGCCTTGTAGTCCATGATAAGGACTTTAGGCTCTATTCTAAAAATAGTGGGAAGCCATTGTAGCCACTGGGGTCTACAGTGGGGAGCAGTGAGAAGGTTATTATAGCTGTCTAGGAGGGAAATGATGGATGGTGATTTGCACTGGAGTGGTGGAGTTGAGAAGCAGATGGACTGAATGAAATAGATGGATTGAAGGGATTTAGGAGGTAGAGTTGAAGTAATATGGAGAGACTTTGGTGACTAATTGGATATGGGGTGAGCGGGGAGAAGCATATCAAGGATAAAACTAAAGTTGGGAAGTTTGGTTGATGGTAGTGTCATTCATCTAAATACGGAGTGACATGAGGAGGGGCAGGTTTGGTGACCCACTGAGATTAAAATACTCGTGTGCTTTCCAGATGGAGCTGCCAGGGGGCAGTTAAGTATGAGTACGAAGCTCAGGAGAGAAATTTGAATGGGAGATATAAATTTAGGATTTGGTAGCTTATAAATGTTAATCAAAGCTATCATCTCGTCATTCATTAGATATTGGGCACCTGCAATATGTTAGGTATTAGGCTAGACCCCAGTGACAGAAAAAATAGTGCCCTGTGGGAGTTCACATTCTACTGGGTTTGGAAAGAGAGAACACAGAGACAAGTAAACAGTTAATTTAGAGAGAGAGAAGTGCAATGAAGACAATAAACAGGGTGATGTGATAGAAATAGGCTACTTTGAGGATGGTCCTGGAAGGCCTCTTTTGAGGAATTGGTATTTGGGTTGAGAACCAAAGTATGAGGAAGAACCAATCTGGAAAGAGCTAGAATTTATGGAAGATTATTTATGCATATAACGTATAATGGCACATATAATCATAGATAATATGAAAGCATTATACTCGAAATATTAATGGTAATTCTCTCTAGGTAGTGGAATTTCAAGTAGTTATTTTTTTCCATATACTTTCTGGTATTGTTTGAATTTTTTATACTAACGTGTTCTTCAAATCCTAAAAACAAAAACCAAAGTCCAAGATTTGAGGGAAGATCTTTCCAAGAAGAGAGAACAGAAAATGCAAAGGCTCTTCACTAGGAGCGAATATGACTTACTTGAGGGCCAAAAAGATAGGTATTTCTGGAATGTGTGATTGAGAGGTAGAGTGATATGAGGTGAGCTTGCAGAATCAGGCAGGTTCCAGATCATGGAGGGTCTGGGTTAGGAGTTCGAATTTCATTTTGGGTATAATGGGAAGCTCGTAAAGGTTTAGTGGAAGAATGACATACTGAGATTTAGGAGGATCATGCATGCCGCCATGTGGAGATTAGGTAAGAGGAGGGCAAGAGTAAAAACAGGGGGCTGTTATAGAAGTTTAATCTAAAGATGAAGATGGATTAGACTGCCCAGTGACACTGGGATGAATAGATGACTTGGATATATTTTGGAGGTAAAACTGGTACAATTTGATAGGAAGAAATTGGAAAAGAAGGAATCAAGGGTGATACTTTGGTTTTTGATTTGAGATTTAGTGGAGGTAGGATCTTTTTCTTTGGGACTACCATAAAAAATTTTGTTTACTCTTTAGTGCAGGGTATATTTTCAAATTGGAATTATAGCTCATAAAAATTTAACTTTGTATGTAGATGAAAGAGCTAGAATTGACTGCATGCATAATATTGCAAAATATTAATAATTGTCTCTGCTAATTTATTTTCCTTCTTTTTTTTTTTTTTTTTTTTTAAAAAATGTCATCCTTGCGTAGGGGCCATGCTAATCTTCTTTGTATCTTTCCAATTTTAGTATATGTGCTGCCGAAGCGAGCACTATTTTCCTTCTTTTTTGAAAACTTTTGGAATGCTTTTTATCCTAGATGTAGTAGTGAATTGTATAATGCTGAGCCCCTTTACCTGGTTTCCCTTATATTTTTTCATAAGAGGAGAGAAAAGAAATTTAGAAAGGGAATAAATATGAGATGTTTAGTTGACTGAAGTATTTTTAAATGCTTAAAAAAAACACTTTATAACTGTTTCCATATGGAGATTGATTTTTCTGATTATAAAAGATTTGTATTTAGTTGCAAAAGAATGTCTGCTAGGGAACTCTACTGCTCTAATTCTAATGGATATCCACAAATTATGATCTACTAGATCTGCTAGTATGACTCATAAGAAATTTTTTTGGCAAATAAATCATATACTAATTGTTCTTTAAAAGTAGAAAAACTTTATTTCTTTAAAAATATAATTTCTTACAGTAAAAACGTGGTATAAATAATAAAAGAAAAATGTAATTTCCTCAGTTTGATCTTTCCACTATTTTGAGTACAAAGCTTTTATTATCCTTACTGTATCCCTCTGACTGTTCTGCATCACCTGCATCTCATATTTCTTGGCTTGTTAAGCTTCAGAGCCGTTTTTCACTTTGTGTCATTCACATTTGTGACCTTGTCCTCAACTGTTGTAGTTTCTATTTCAATGAGCTCTTCACTTTTGGAAGCATAGTCTTCTTATCCAACAAAGAATAGAATTGTCCTTCTGATCTATGACAATCAAAAAAGCATGAAATAAAACACAACAATGTGAAAATGGATGTTGTGGTAAACAGAAAGAAGACTTACTACATGACATTTTCTTTTGTGCGTAATGTGAACTGTGGCCCAAGTTTATCTCTGGACTTTTTTTTTTGGAACCAGTCTCTCAGTCCATTCAGTCTTGCTATAAAGGAATACCTGAGGCTAGGTAATTTATAAAGAAAAGAGGTTTATTTGGCTCATCGTTCTGCAGGCTGTACAAGAAGCATGGCACCAGCATCTGCCTCTGGGGAGGACTTTATGTGGGGACTCACTTCCACTCATGGCAGAAGGAGAAGGGGAGCCAGCGTGTGCAGAGATCGCCTGATGAAAGAGAGGAAGCAAAAGTGGGAGGTGCTTGGCTTTTTTTTTTTTTTTAAAACAACCAGTTCTGTTGGGAACTAGTAGAGCCAGGACTCACTTACCTCCTCAAGGGAGGGCATTAATCTATTTATGAGGGATTCACCCCCATGACCCAAACATCTCCCATGAGGCCCACTTCCAACATTGGGGATCAAATTTCAACATAAAGTTTAGAGGCACAAATATCCAAATGCTAGCAAATAGTTTTGAGGGCTGGACTAGGATTTACTTAAAGAACCGGAGGCAGAAGGAGCAATAAGGTGTATTGTTTGCTCATCACTGTCTACATTGATTATATAGCTTAGAAATCTACCTGATATCTGCAAAAATTGACTGCTGTCACTACATTTCTAGTTTCCCAAATGCTTTTACCAGAGAGGTCGTGAATCAGGACTGAGCTTATATTGTATAACTATTCCAAAATAATCCTTTATGGTAAAATATCAATATTCTATAAAAAGAAACTTTGAGATGTTATTATATCTTCACCTCAGGATATAATATGGAGGAACTTGGTATAATTCTATGCATTGTTTTTCTGTCTTTCAGATTCAGTAGTATATTTATATCTCTCTCTGATCTTTTCATCTATTACTGAAACTTAAATTGTAATCCGAATGCCAAATTTATTTCATAGGAGTCATTAAGGTTACTATAGTGAGGGCAGGTTTGGGTTACAGTTACAATTTGGTGTTTCTGCATT